CATAGGTTTCTCAAAATCAGGACATTAAGTCCCTGTATAGGACTATGCGACCGCATAGTCCTTTGAACTATGCGGTCGCATAGTTCAAAACTTTGGCCTCCATCCCCAATTTCCATTCCAAGCTTGATTTTATTATTTTGAACAACAAATTTCAACAGGAGCTCACAATCGGCTTTGGCGTAGGAGCTAGTGGCAGTGGTGGATCTTGCCTCCATTTGGAACATAGCTTGATGTTATTCCGTGAAATCGTAGCCAAGTCGACCGCGTCATTGGAACTAGTCCCACCACACCAAAAAGCAATTCTCATTAAAATCATTAATGCTCCAACACGATAAAATAAACAAGAAGCACAAAATCAAACATCTAATTTTCCTTGAAATCAAAGGTTAAGGGCATTCCCTTCACCTCAGATCAAATCCACAAGCATACAACTATTTTTATTTTTTGCACTACATTTTAACTGTACTTAAGGTTCTTAATCTTTACTCATTATAGTACTTATATCCATAACGATTTTTCATGTCATTATTGTCCTTAAACTTTTCATTACTTAACACATTTTGTATTTGATAATGGTTTTATGTCCAAAAATTCATTGAAAATTGTGTAAAACAACTTATTTTCCCATCATTTGTTAAAAAATAAACAAATAAAAATTGCGAAAAGAATTTTTTCAATATATGAACAAATGAGCCATAACAGTAAAAAATGTTTTCACTTCACATACAAAAGTTTGCTAAATACTAGAATTTGGCATATCTGTTTGTTTAACTTGGGTTACCCCACTTTGTACTGTTTCTTTAATATTCAGATGCATGTTTGGGTATTTTTAAGTCCGACGTTATATAGGTAGGTCGATTATATGCCTTCATTGCTTTCGTCCTATATTTTGGGCAACATCTCTTATGAAGTTGTGTAGTACTGAAAAAAAAAAGGTACTTTTCTTTATTGAGCATGTTTGACTAGATCTAAAGTTAAAATAATAATAATAATAATTACTTTATTTTCAAATATGTTTAGATATTATTTTTCATCGATCAATCTAACACGTTTCATTGTCATATGCTCAACTTACAAATATGAACAACGTATTTTTAAAAGGAGTATTCCAAGAATAGGCAAGTATAAGTGATGTAATATTATAAGAGATGGTATGGATTCAACAGTTGTTGAATGAGCTACACATTCTAGTTCCAAAAGATTTGAGTAATCTGGTGTGAAAATTTGAGTAGTGCACATGTCTCAACAAATTGCATGCTCCATTATAAGGAATAAGTTTGAAACATAAAAACTCGCAGTTCAACGGAACAAGCAACATATATGTTCAGGGTGTTTGGTGGGGATTAAAATTAGAGTTTTAATGGATTGTGATAAAAGTTTTTGAAATATGTGGTTGAAAAGATGTGTGACTTATGAAAGATGTGATTAATATTGATTGTTGACTTTGACTTAGATTAAAATCAGATTTTAATCCGGCCCATGCCATAAAGCCCTCGCAGAAAACTAGCAACAAACTCAAAGTAGCTTCACCAGCTACTGTTGGTTTGAGGAGAGAAGATGAGAGAAATATTGATAAGCCATTGAGATTGAGGGATATAATAAGAGATTGTTAATTATGCCAGTGTGTATACTATATATTTCTGTTGATCATTTCTTTTGCTTCATGTATTCTGTAGATTCATAAATGTTTCGTCTATCTTCACTCATGCAGCAGTGTAAAACGGTTATCACAGACTTTGCAAAAAACGAAGGGACAAAGTTTTTGAAAGAAATCATAGCAAATTTTACACCTTACATCACTATTGAAAATGGAGAATTATACTAATTTATAGCATTGTTTCAAGCACTGTTGCTTCCAGTAGAATTTGGTAATATGAGTTCTCTCAACATGGCTACCACCTGCAACATAGTAGGCCTTTTGGATGGGAAATCATCAACGCACTGCAGTGATATCTCCAAGTACCTTACCATCTCTTTAATTTGTTCTGCTTCCGCTTCGTCAGTACCTTTAGTTACTGAAAGTAACTCTTGATCTATTACTTCCATTCCTTTTCCTTCTCTCACTTTCATTTTCACCCACCCAACCAAATTGGTGTCTCCAAAATCTTCCTTATCTGTAGGCCTTTTCCCAGCAAGGAGTTCTAAGAGGATGACCCCAAATGAATAAACGTCGCCCCTTGAAGTGCATCGGAAGCTTTGGTAGTATTCAGGGGGGACATAGCCAGGTGTACCGGCTAATGTACTCACACTTAGGTGTGTGTCCAGGGCACTGATAAGCCTGGCCATACCGAAATCAGAGACCCGGGCTTCCATTTCATTGTCTAATAGCACATTGCTTGATTTCATGTCTCGATGAATAATGTGAGGTATGCAATTGTGGTGGAGGAAACAGAGACCTTTAGCAGCACCTCTTGCTATCTTTTTCCTTTCTTCCCATGTTAAAATTCTTCGGTCACGCACTCTTGGCCTCCCGTGGAGCATTTCCTCAAGGCTCCCATATTCCATAAACTCGTACACCAGGAGCCTTTCTTCACCAACCTTGCAGTACCCTAAAAGAGGGACAAGATTCCTGTGCTTGATCTTTCCTAGGGTCTCCATTTCAGCCATGAATTCCCTGTCACCCTGGCAGCTTAATCGTAGTAATTTTTTGATTGCAACACTTGATCCATCCTTCAATGTTGCCTTAAATACTTCACCAAATCCTCCAGAGCCAATCATACTTGCTGCTGAGAATCCATTGGTAGCCTCAATCAGTTGCGAAAACTTGAGTTTCTTCAGTTGCCTCTGAAAAGTTGCAACATTAATGCTTAGTGGCTCTTTCTCCTTCTCAATTTTCCATGTTGTTGCAGCTTGCGATGCTTGTAAACTATTAAGCATCTTGATTCCCTCCGCCTCCTTACGTCTAGCACGTATTGCAATTGCCCACACAATCAGAATGCAGACAGAAGCTATTGAAATAAGAATCCCAATCACAACGCTACTAACCCATGATGTAGCAGCCCCTTTTTTACCATCCCTACTTGGATTTGTTGTAGGCTGCTGATTGTTATTGTACTGGCATTCAGGCAATGGAACTCCACATAATCCTGGATTATTTGCATACTGGCTTGCAGGAAGTGTACTAAGCTGCCCCGTGGATGGAATTCGTCCCGTCAATTCATTGTTGGAGAGATCGATTTGCACCAAGAAAGACAGTTGTGAAAAGGAGTCTGGAATATGCCCCTGTAGTCTGTTATGAGATGCGTCAAAGACTCCCATGTTCTTAAGCTGACCTAGAGACTCGGGAATTTCCCCCGATAGCTGATTATGGGACAACACGAGAACTTGTAAAGCTATCATTTCCCCGAATTCATCTGGGATTTTCCCTCGTAACTGATTATAAGAAATATCAAGATACTCGAGAGTCTGGTAACGGGTGAAAAGACTCAGAACTGGACCAGAATACAATCGTGCAAAATCACAACTTCTCAATGATGGCACCTGTAACAGCCTTTCAGGACGAATGCCGGAGAACTCAACCAACCCTCCAACTCCTCTGCACGAATTCCCCACATTTCGGACAAAAACCAATGTGTTGCCTGAGAGAATTCCACTGATTGCTTTTGATCCATTCTGCCTTCCAAGTCGAGGCGGGATCTCTCCACTTAGCTGGTTGCTGTTCAAGTCCAACCAAACTAAGCTGGTGCAATTTGCTAACTCTTTCGGTATCTGACCACTCAAGCTATTATTTGCAAGTTGCAAAACAGCTAGCCTGGCTAGATACCCGAATTCTCGTGGAATCTCACCACTCATTCCATTGCTTGTGAGTGAAATCCATTCCAGATTAACACTATTGAACAACTCTGTTGGGATTCTGCCACTTAAATGGTTATTATTCAGAATAAGATTTTTCAGTTTCTTGCATTTTCCCAATTCTGCCGGTATATTACCTCCCAAGCTGTTGTACCAGGCAATCAGTTGCTCTAGATTCTCAAGATTCCCGAGTTCAGCTGGAATCGTACCATTGATGTAATTTATGCTGAAATCAATGGTCTTTAGCTGTGAACATTGAGATAATTGAGGTGGAATTGATCCAAAAAGTGAATTATCTGGTGCTCTCAGCTCTTCGAGTGAACTGGCTCCGGGGCATATATCTGGTGGGATGATCCCAGAAAGCATGTTGGAGCTGAAATCAACAACTCGTAATTTCTTACATGATGAAATTGAAGAAGGAAATGCTCCAGAGATCCTGTTACTTTTAAGTAGCAAGGTCTCTAAAGTCCCTAAGTTGTGCAGGATCAAATCAGGAAAAGGACCAGTTAAATTATTGATGGACAAATCAAGAAGTAGTAGGAGACTACAAGATGAGAATGAGGATGGTATTGATCCAGTAAGGTTGTTATTAGACAGCTTAAGTTCCGATAGTGAATTGCATGAATTTCCCAATTCGGACGGGATCCAACCAGTGAGATGATTGTGAGAAAGATCTAATCTTTGTAAGCTCGTAAGTTCACCAAAAGAAGGCGGGATTTCCCCGGTGAGTGAATTATCTTGTAAAATTAACTCTTCAAGTTTTGTGCAGTTTGAAAAGGAAGCAGGAAGAGAACCAATCATTTGGTTCCCAGACCAATCTAGACGCAACAAGGAATTGCAGGATTCAATTTTCAAGTATGATATTGAACCTGAAATATTGTTGTAAGACAGATCAAGATCTTGCAAATTATCAATGTGCAACATAAGATTATCAGGTAGAAAACCTGTTATATTATTGAAAGCAAGATTCACATGAACAAGATTCGGGCACTTAGCAAAAAAACTTTCAGGGATATGACCTACAAGGCCAGAAAAAGAAAGTTCAAGTTGTTTCAATCCATAAGGGAGCTGAAGCAAAGATGTAGTAGAATTTATAGCAAATGTATTGGCAGACAAATTTAGGGCAGTTAACATATCTAATGAAGAAAAAGGAGAAAAAGAGAGTTGACCAACAAGATTAGACTGAGCAAGATCAAGAGCTGTCACTCTTCCAAGATTGCATGTAATTCCATACCAATTACATGGATCTTTCTTAAGCTGCCAGTCTGACAGAACTCCATTAGGATCACTGTGAATCATCTTCTTGAAGGAGAGAAGAGCCTCGGCATCCGTTTTTATGGACGAATATCCGCCTTGTTCGGCTCCCATAACAAAAGAAAACACCATGTACAGAGCCACAATCTTGATTGTAGTGAACTCCATTGGATGAACTCAAAAAACCTATAGCTCTTACTTTGTGAGTATATAAAATGAACAAGGCAGCATTGAGTGCATTTGTGTATCTGGGAGAGAGAGAAATAAAAAGGGGCAGAAAGAGAGTGCTTATTATGATGAGAATTTCTTTGTGCAAAGCAGGGGAGTGTGTGCTTTACAAAAAGTTTCTCTCAGTAATTGATATTTTTAATGGAAAAGGAGGGATTGAACGTGGGATAGGAACAGTGAGGAAATTGAATAGTTTTTGTTGGGTGATGTATAATACTACTAACGGACTACGCTTTGTTGAATCTTGAAATTTGAATGGTCGATCAAGGAAGTATACTGGTGGCATAGCAACAACGGAGTAGTACTGTGGATTAGACAAATGTTCAAAGGGAGAATCACAGGACAGACAAAGTATAAGATAAATGGCTGCTTTTAAGAAAAATGCAACTTTGTATGATCCCCATGCTTATTTCTGTCGCGAAAGCGTGAGAAAGTTTCTCCTGTCAGTAGAATACCGAAATAGGGGAGGTATACAGTATACTTGGATATTGTAAGGTATATTATTAAAAATCCAAAATTTAATCATTGTATAAAAGTCTAATAGACTAATAGTGACTTTTTTATCAATTTCAAAAAGAGGGTATTCGAGGGTATCCACAATTTATTCTTTTCAAAATATTTTTGAACAAACTATATTTTATTTCAATTATTATTTTTTGCATTTTAGATACTTTTCATCAAGTGTTATTGATATTTGGTTAGTTTTTTTATGTTAGGGTGGTGTTGAAAAATTACAAAATTAAGAGTGTGTTTGATGCACATTTTATAGGAGAGAATGCATTTTTTATGCAATGGGGAATATGTGGTTGAAAAAGAAGAAAAAATTATTGATGTAATGAAAAATATTATTTTATTGAAGAATGTATGATTGAAAATGATTAGAAAAATAAGAATGTGGCTCAAACAGGGGCTAAATGTGTTTATAGAACCGGTGATTATATTTGTTAAGGAATAAATCCCACGTAGATTAAATACCGAAATATGGATCAACATACAAAAGTTTGGATCACCCATCTTAATAAGGTTGACATTTTAAGATAAGTCACAAGTCTTAATATGGTATCAGAGTTCATTAAATTCTAGCGAGTAATTCGATCCAAAAGACTTAAAAAAAGCACGCGAATTTCAAGATTGACCTGCTCAAATGATTTACCTTCTTGTTGGGACATGTTAAGGGATAAATCTCATATCAGTTAAATTTCAAAATATGAATCAACATATAAGGGCTAGAGTTATTTTTTTTAATAAGGTTAATCTTTTAAAATGAAATCTAAAGCTTTAATAATATTGTCGCCACAATTTTCTTTTACTGGACCACTTTTTAATTGCACAAAAATCCTCAATCTTTGCTTATGCGACAATTTTCTCGATCTCAATCTTCTATTAATTAGTACATTTAGTCTATGATGATGGTTTATAGTTCCCAACATGTCGTAGACTTTTTTATACAATAGGCCTACAAATAACATTATATCAAGATGGGATTTTGATTTGATTCCAGATGAATAATTAAGATTTGATCTATTATCCCGAGAAGGTCTACGGTTCGAATCCGTACAACCCTAGAGCCCTATAAAATGAAAATTCAAAATATAAAATTATCTCATTTTCATTTCTACATTATTGTTTGTTGGTTGTAACTGACTATGAGCGTAGCGTTTAAGGCTTGAGTACAAAAGTCTAGTGCATGAACACACATTACGCACAAGCACAAGGAGATGCTAATCATGGGCAAAGGGCTCGAAAATGACCAGATCATATGTCGGTTCTGGATGTCAGGATGTGGAGCCTAAGCATAAAGAGTGATGCAATGTGTGTGTTGGTAGCTTAGATTGATGTATATGTTAAAAGCTCGTTTTTCTCTTGAAAATTTAATAGTAGAGTTGTTATACAATTACAAAAAGGGTAAGTCACGCATTTTCTTTGTTTGCGGGAAAAAAACAATGGGTAAAAAACTCGAATGGTTCTAACACCGTGTGCAAAATATCCAAAAACTTTAAATTGGACTTCGCTAGTCTCTTAATTTTAAGTCATGAACTCAGTTAGTACCGAAAGGGAATTCGGTCAAAATTAGAGAAATGCTAATTGTACTGGGGGTTGACAAAAAAAGGTGGGCCCCCCACTATTGTGAGGGGCCAGTCGAGGGGGTTGTCAACCTCCCTCCCCCGGGTACAATTATCGTTTCTCCAAAAATTACTGAAAAACATCCAATGTGGATAACAGATTGATAGTGTGGCATCACATTTGACACTACTTTGATACAGATACACCAACAAGGATAAAATTGCATCATTTTCCTGAAGGAAAATACTTTCTATTGCATTTGAAGCGTGAAAACACTTCAAAAAATGGTGTAATTTTGTCCTTGTTAAAGAGGCAGGGTCCGACCTTATAATCCCTCTAATCACATATGATCTTGTTCAAAGGACCTATAGATGCAACCAAAAAATATTGACAAGGTATATAAATTTATCAATATGTAAGTATAGAAAGAGTAAAAAAAAAAAAAAGATAAAGCAAGAGAGCAAAGCTCGTAAAATATGGGGCTATGCTCGAACTTGAGGATGTCGTGTCTTCAAGATTGTTCTGGGTCCGAGGCGTGGCCTAGGCATCGAAGGTTTGAACTAGAGTAGAGACTTGTTGTGCGAGTTCTTAAAATACCTTTGGAGAACTTGAGGGGTTTGGGGAACTCCGCAAGGAGGACGGTGATTGAAGCACACTTGGTTGGAACATCATGCACATGCTATCAGAGACGTAGCCAGGATTTCAATCTTGGGAGGGCCCAAAAATTTTTTTTAACTAAGAGAATTAAAAACGATAATTTTGAGTACCAAAATAGATAAGTTAGATTGACTGACTAAAACGACAATCAGTTTGTCGATACAAAAATAATATATCCATCTATGTGTCTAAAGCTATACAAATTAAAAATATGAACGTTAGATAGACATCAAAAAGTAAACTGCCTACCTATATAACAGATGGTGGAGATGGCTTGGACATCTGAAATTGGTCTTTCCTTATCTTCACTTCAAACTCGTCAATAAGAGGGGTGTCTTTAGTCAGGATTACATTTTGTGGGTTGTGGCTTGTGGGTATACTTTTGGGTAATTGATTCATAAATTGGTCATTTGCTTATGGATTAGATTTGGGCTATTTATTTATTTAAGTAATTATTTGATCTTTTGTTTAGATCTAAAATTTTTATATGGTTTAATTTGAAAGTGTAAGTTATTTGGTCAATATTTATTAATGGAAAAAAAATTTCAAAATTTTGTAGGGGCGAAACTGAAAAATACATTACAAATTAACTAGAAATGATTGACCGGTGGATAATATTGGGGGGGCGATCGCCCCCTGCCCCCTATCTCCGTCTCTGCATGCTATAATCATGACTTTTGGTAGGATTTTTTATGCTACCAGAAATTTTACTTGATAATACACGAAGTGAATTGCGAAAGGAGAGAGCAAGATGTATAATTAATGAGTACGTTAAAATTTGGGTGTAACTCGAATTCTTTGTTGAAAATAATTGAAAATTCTAATTAAAGTGTACATTAAAAAAATTCTATTGTGAGTGTTTTTGGAATCCTATTCAAAATTTATTTGGCAAATTCTAGTTCAAATTCTATTCGGAAGTCGAGTTGAAATTTGTGTTGGACTTGAAGATATCAAGATAAGAAAACTTTTAAGTATTCTATTTCATCTACAACTCTACTTTTAGAGATTGAATTGTTCCCTTTATATATTTAGCTCTTCATTGTATTTAGATTAAATTAGACAAATTATAAATACAAAATCTTCGTATTCTTTCTCCATATTATAATAAAATCTACATTCTTTGCACATTATTTTATTCGTGTGATCAATTACTTTATATTGTGGTTATAATCTCTTATGTTCTCCAACAATTTGGTATTGAAAAAATTCGATATCATCTTCGCTTTCACAACAATTTGTATTCTTTCTCCATATTATAATAAAATCTACATTCTTTGCAAATTATTTTATTCGTGTGATCAATTACTTTATATTGTGGTTATAATCTCTTATTTTCTCCAACAATTTGGTATTGAAAAAATCCGATATCATCTTCGCTTTCATAACAAACTTATACCAGAGCTTTGGTGTTGAAATTCTTGGAAAGATCGAGGTTTTTTGTGATGACAACAATGAAGTATGATATTTCGCTATTAAATTGCAATACAAGATTCTTTTTGTGACAAGTAAAGATGCGAGCAGTACTCGCTCAGATAAATTTGGATGGCGCGTTACATCTTTGTCTATGGAGGAGAAACAGTGGAAGAAACGAAAGACCCTATTTCAAATACATCTTCATCTTTCAAATAATATTCTTCGGGGAGAAGTCATCCACTGTATTATGTTTAAAATTGGAGCAATTGTGATTGACAAAATGTCTTAGTAGCAAGTTGCATATGAAGCAACATCTATATTTTCATTGTGTGACAGAAGGTACATTTATTGTGGATCACTTACCCGCTTTTAAGAAAATCATCGCTTATTTGGAGACCTTGGAGGTCAAATATGATTAACAAGATTTGGAATTGATTTTATTGTGTTTATTGCCCATTTCATACGTCTTTTAGAGACGATTTTATATAATCGTGATACTCTAACCATTAAAAAAAAAAAAAGTCTATGATACTCTATATTCAAAGGAGATTATGAAGCATCTTGTTACATCTGAAGGTCATGAAGATGGCCCCATTCTTGATGGTGGTTGTTCAAGGACAAATTAAAATCTAACTTCAAATTTTATAATTATTGTAAGAAAAAAGGGCACTTGGTAAACGATTGTTATAAGTTGTAGAAAAAATCAAAGTCAACTACAAATCAACAATCAGAAGGAGAAGCAAGTATTGCATAAAATCCCAGCAGTGATGGATAGTTTCTACTTATATCTGACTACAACTTCAAAC